CATTTAACTTATAAAGCCATTTGCACTCTACCAGTTTCTGGTTAGTTGGTTTTGGAACCAAGGACCATGTCTTATTCAGCTTTAAAGACTTCATTTCTTCCTTCATGGCTAAAAGCCATTTATCTCTGTCTCTGGAACTCATGGCTTCTTCATAGGTTTCAAGCTTAGCCTTTTGGATCTCTACACCAACAACCAAGGCTGTGTAGATTAGGTCAGCATAGGTGAACCTGGTAGGGGGCCTTATCTCCCTCCTAACTCTATCTCTTGCTAGCTGATATTCTGCCAAGTTATCATTTTGGGCTTCTTCAATGTTTTCAAACAGTTCCCCTTCTTCTTCTTGGTCCTCATTTTTAGGTACTGGGTAATTTTTTGGTTTAGCAGCTTTTGGTTGTTCAGGGTGCTTAGCGAAGCTTGCTGGCTCCACCTCAAATTGAGATTTCTCAGCTTGATCAAACCTCTCAAAATCACTCATTGACTTACCTGCATTGTTATTAGAAAGCTTATAAGCAAACATGATCTCATTAAAGACTACATCACGACTGATTATTATCTTGATCCTTGAAGCATCCTTTTCCCACAACTTATACCTTTTGGTTCCTTCTTGATATCCTAAAAATACACATTTTAGGGACCTAGGCTCCAACTTCCCATCTTGGGTATGTGCATAAACAGCACACCCAAACACCTTTAAGTGACTCAGATTTGGCCTCCTCCTTGACCATATCTCTTCAGGGCAGTTAAACTCTAATGCACTTCAGGGACTCCTATTGATTAGATAAGCTGCAGTGGTTAGGGCTTTACCCCAAAAGGTTTTAGGCAAACCAGCAGTGAATAAGAGACATCTAACACTTTCTAGAACTGTTCTATTCATTCTCTTTGCAACCCCATTTTATTGTGGGTTTCCTCTGACTGTCATATGCCTTAATACTCCCTGATTGCTACAGTAAGTGAACTCTAGGTTGTAGAAGTCCAACCCATTATCTGTCCTAAGGGCGTTGACTTTTATGTTTATTTGGTTTTCTACCAAGATTTTCTAGCCTTTGAACTTAGTCAAGGCTTCATCCTTAGTCTTGAGAAGGTATACCTATACCTTCTTGCTATAATCGTTTATAATGGAGAGGAGATATGTGTTCCCTCCATGTGACTTGACACTTTCTGGACCCCAAAGGTCTACATGCACATAGTCCAAACAATTTACAGCAAGATGAGTTCCTTTTTGGAAACTCATCCTGTGCAGTTTACCAAGAACACAAGTCTCACAAAAATTTAAATCAGAAACAAAATCATTACCAAAATAGCCCTGCTATCTAAGTGCATTCATGCCATTTTGGCCTATATGGCCCAATCTCAAATGCCATTTCTCTATAGCGGACATGTTAGTAGACAGTAGAGCAGTATTGAAAACATCAGGATAGTAGTGTCCACATAAAATATACAGACCATTCTTTTTAACACCCTTAAGCAAAACATTACCATTCTTGAACACTTCTAGGCATCCATTTTGGGCTTTATAGGAATAGCAAGATTCATCTAATGTTCCTAGTGAAATCAGATTTTGCTTAAGCTCGGGTATATATCTAACCCTAGTTAGTAGTATTACTTTACCATTTTTTAGTTTAATGGCTATATCACCTATGCCTTGGACCTTACAGGAATGGTTGTTTCCCATGAACACTCTTTCTTGTTCACCGATTTTAAGTCTTTGAAACCAATTTTTGTTTGGACTCATGTAAAAAGTACAACCAGAATCTAACACCCACTTATTAACCCTAGCAGTATTGGAAACAGTAAGTGCTTTAGAGATTTCAATGTTACTGCTTGTGCTAGCTAGGTTGCTTTCAATTCTGGTTTGTTTGTGCTTTTTAATCCATTTGTAACAGTTTTTCTTAAGATGTTTTGGTTTATTACAAAAGAAGCACTTTCTAGATTCTCCCTTAGGTTTCCCATTCCCCTCACCTTTCTTTCTAGTTTTATTGCCTAAGTTACTCTGAGAATTCTTTCCAACTTCTTTATTAAACTGCCCAGTATCACACCTACCTTTAACAAACAGATTACTACCATTTCTTTTCTGAATTTTCAGTTCTAGTTCCCTAGATTTTAACCCCAAAACTATCAAATCCACACTAGGGACTGTGCCACTATATTGTAAGGCATTCTTTACAACTAGATAGTCTTCTGACAAGGAGTTTAACAGAATCATAGCAAGACTAGAGTCTCCTAGTTCTTGGTCAGTACCTTTTAGAGTTAGGGTCATCTTTAGAAATTCATCCAAGTTTTCATCTAAAGATTTAGCTATGTCCATTTTATATGAGAACAATGCATCTTTTAAGAAAGCTAAATTAGGTGCTGACTGAAGAGCATATAAAGATTCGAGTTTACCCTAGAGAGTGATTCGAGATTCCAAGCCATCCACCTTCTGCAGCACGATGTCAAACAGGTTCATCATAATCAAATTATACGCTTCTTCATCTACTTCTGCCTTCTTTTTCAGCTTTTCTTCATGCCATTTGATGGTATCCTTTTCCAGAGTAATTCCCACCTTATCATGGGATAAGAGGGCCTTTATCTTCTTTTTCCAGGTGTTAAAATCAATCTTCCCATCATATTGGGAGATTTCCATGCGCGTGATGCTCATGGTTTGGGTTCAGAAGCAAACCCTAAAGAATCAAGATTTTGATGATGGACTTGACTCATTGAGATTTTGTGAATTCTTGTTGTATTTGGAACCCTAGGACTCTAAGAACTACTTAATTGAAAAAGCCCCAATTTTTTTTAAACCCTAGAATGTAAAATTCGAGAAACCCTAAACTCAGCTCTGATACCATTGTTATAAAACCAAGTCTACCTAATCAAAATCAAGATTTTCACGAACCAAACAAAGATCAAAAACAGGAAAGAACAACACACGATCTTTTACCGTGGTTCACTTGTTCAGGATTGAACAAGCTATGTCCACATTGAGCTCCAAAATATGAAGGCTCGCTGCACTATTATTATTGTCACCAAAGATTACAGATCATACACTCAATCTTCCCTTCAAACCCTCACTTACAAGAATTGCGATAACACCACTCCTATACACATAAATCTATAATCCTAAAGAGAATTCTAATCCCGATTCTGTACCCACAAAGAAACACAACTTTTTGGGTGGATCTACAACTGATTTATACAAGAGTAAACTGTTCTACAAGGAACCACAACAAAGAGTTTACAAATTGAGATATTCGATTGAAAGTGACCGTACAATTTGGAAAGCTTCAGCTTTTATATGGTTGACCAGTATGTGAGTCTTCAGCCATTAGATTGCTTGGAGATCAAAGGCCAGAAATGCAAGACAGATTAGCTGAAATGGCAGCGTATCAATAAAGCCCAAGACGACACAATTTTAACGGCTTTACATATTAACAGTAAGATTTTGAAATATGAAATTATCTAGTTTTACTTGGTTTCTTTTCAAATTTCTTGATTTTTATCCCTATATGGTTTTTCCCAATATATATATAAAATCACTAGGGGTGTTCGGGTCAGCTTGCGTGTAGCTCAACTAATCTTCCAGGACTCTGAAAGTTCAATCGAATAATTCTTAAGTGGTCACCTCTACTAGCTTCTGGGGGGACTGGAACTTAAGAGCATGAGGATCTTTTTCCCAATATGTTAGAGATTGAGTCTTCTAGGATTTTCTTCCATCGTTGGAGGTTGATTTTTTTTTTCTCTCTCCTTTGTTTGAGTTGTTAAAATAAAGGTGTTAAAGACAAGAACAATTTTTTTTTTATTTTTTTTTTGGTAAATTAACCGACTATATATGGTACATGAAATAAATTCTTTTATAAAATTAAATATTATAAATTTTAAAACAAACAATAAACCCCTAAATTTTATTTATTTATTTTTTTTCATAGTAAGATCATTCCATGAGTATAAAGTTGACTTAGGTAAATTATCAAATATGTGAGGATCATATGTATCTTGGAATAAGTTTAATAGTAGATAAAAAAAAAAAAAAATTGTTCTACCCTGGATAGACATGTTAAAATTCACATTTTTTTCCCCGACTATATTATAGTTAGAGAAAATATGTTCCCATATCATTTTATTGCATAATTCAATTAAGGATTTTTGGTAATTATATAGAAAAATTAAATAGCAAAAAAAAAAAAAAAAAGGAAAAAATATTGAAAATGCAAAGGTACTTGTTGAATCATAAAATATAAATACCAAAAATTAGATATGTGAACTTAAGGCTTTATATATATATATATTACAAAATACAAATCAATCAAACTTTTCATGCTTCAAATGATTTTCATCAATTATTCTTTCCAAGAGTAAGAAACGATAAAAATAGGAAATAAATACATAGCATTATTGGGATGGGGACGAGGCCTGGGATCCTGTTCCCCGATCTCAATACCCATCCCCATCCCCATCCCTAGCCCAACCTCGATTGGAAGGATGGGACAGGGCGGGGATTGCACAATCCTTGGGATTGGGGAGTTTTCAAATTTCAATGGACCATCCCTGGCCCCAACTTTGCCTTTTCGAGGATTATCCGTCCCATTTGGGTCGGGTTAGGGGAAACGCCTATCCCTATATAGCAATGAGTAAATTATTTTTTTTGCTTAATTTTTAAACAAGTTAATTATATTTACTGATACACCCATTTTGCAAATAGTATAATTTTAAATGGTTAATTATGGATTCAACTAATTTAAATTTAAGTCTGTTAATTATAATATTTCAATTTTTAGATTGTATCTGATTTAGGTAAATTAGATTGAACATGAGGCATTCAAAGAAGACAATAAATAGTCATACTTATAGTTTTTGGGAAATCGCAATTTCAATTTCATCTGGGTATTATGCATGGATCTTCTTTACCATTAATACAATGGTCATAAGATCATGATTCCATTACTGAGAAATTAATTGTACAAGTTCCCAAATTTGTTTAATAATTTCCCTTTGTAAACGAATCAAATAAAAAATCGGAAACACGTTTACCGCCAACCAATGAGCAGAACTGTAACAATGTAGACGGCCAATATATGAAGAAACCTACAAACAAGTAAAAAATTAACTCAGAATAAACTAAATTCCTGAAAAATTATAGCAACTCTTACGGCATAAAGAATAACCATCAACTCAATTTTGTGATTACCATAATTTTTGTTGAGGTGGTGCACTATTTCCAGGAGGTGAAGCTTTGGGTGGAGGACCTGCAGATGGTCCAGGTGGTCCGGCTGGAGGTTGAAATTTTCCTGAAAATTAAAATAAAAAGTCTGAGAATCCGTTAAAATTTCCAGGGACCTTCCCTGGAAACTGAAATTTCGTAAATTCATTGGAGGAAAGAGTAAAGAAATATAACACAAACCACAGTAAATGAGATTTTCTGGAGGAAGCCGTTCTTTGGCTGGGTTAGGATCAGGATCATAAACTCTCAAGTAGAGTTCTTGACCCAGATACCAATTTTTCAGGAGTTGTGATCTCAAGTTCCACATTCCAGGATTGTCGAGAAACGCATAAACGGCAGTCCATCCTCCAGGATAAACCTGAAAATGTAACATCCTCAATAGTTTTAGCATATGTATAAAAATGTTATCTAAGATTGACATATCAGAAAATCACCTGAGCGGTGGATCGAACCACAGGATTATAAGTATTGTAACTAGAACGAAATTCAGGTCTCCATTCTCCATCCCCAAAGCTAAAACTCAAACGTTAAATTTGATGAGTTAAAAAATCATATCAAGAGAGAATCCTGACGAATGTAATAATATACTTACCCGACCACATAAAATCCAAAACCATCCAAGTGCCAGGAATCAATCACTTGTAATTTATTCTGGAACACAATTTCTATCCACCCTTTGTGGATTCCGGAGGCGACAAAAACCCCACGAACAGGATCGAGAATGGAGGAGTTAACGGGGAATTTGTCGAGTTCATAAACTCCAGAGCCATTGGCAAATTGATCAGCTAGTTTTAATGGAGTGTCTGGTGTAAGATAGGAGACATTGTTGACGGTGTAGAAAGGCGCACCATCAATAAAAGAGCTAGAGCCCCGGAGAAGAAAACTCTGAGATAGTGTCACATTTGATACATTGAAGGTTCCCTGGGGATTTGGCCTTGCAGCTCCTGTGGTCAGGTTCCACCTGATTTCGTAAAAATGTAATTAAATTTTATGACTTGTTTTAAATGTTAAGCAAATTCCTGTACGATTGAATTTACCTGATGGACTTAGCTTGATCCCGTGAGAAATTTATATCAAACGGATCAGGCTTTCCTGGGAGAAGGCCAGTTGCAGGAGTGGTGGAAGTATCATAATGAAGAACTGCTACACCAATAAGACTGTTATTTCCAGTGGCATTGGACATTTTCGGACTAGCCACGATGTAATAATCAGCCGGATCTTGATCTGCTGTAACAAGAACAGAGTAAGACTGGCCAACGTGCACGTCGAGAGAATCCAAGGTAATTTTTTCAGTGTATGATCCTTCTGTTTCAACCAAAACCATTCGATGATTTTGAATCTGGAAATTGAAACTCCACGCTGTCCCCACGTTCAATATCCTGAATCGATAAGTTTTTCCTGCATAACATATGATTAATAATCTGTTCTCCAATTTTAACTATATGGAATCTCTTCTGATTATACCATTTGTGACGGTGAAAGACTCGTGCTGTGTCGCGTTCGGATCCAAATAAGAGCCTTTTCCATTCATTAGCATCACATTTGGTAGGTTTTGGTAAGCCCAAAGCTCATTGTTCATCATAGACTTAATTTCCTGTAACAGTTAAAAACCAAATAAAGCTTTCAGGATCTTAAAACTCTTCTGTATTAATATTTAACTATTCATATAATCAATTTATGTTTCTTCATTTACCTTGTAACTTTTGTTGTACCAATCACCAATGAGAAGATCAAATTCGGCCTCAGGTTTAGGGAAAGGTACAGGGATGACAACGCGATTGTTAACCCGAAATGGGCCATACCCTCCTCCAGCTTTTTGGAAATTGAGAGAGGGGAAGTAAAAGAAGCTCCCAATCTGATCCTTCGTTTGAAACACATAAGTCCAATTTGTACCAGCTTGAATTGCACAGTTTGTTCCTGAAACTCCATCTTGCCATGAGTTTAGTCTCTGTTGTATGCCATTCCTGTAACATTTACCCCTGAATAATCAGGCAAATATTCATTCAGAACCTTAAATGGGGGTGAGTTTAACATAGCTCATTCTGAATTTATCAAAAACTTTCCTTAAAGTTCCATAAGAACATAAAGCGGCCCAGAATCTAAACACACTAGTAAACTACATTATTAGAATCAGGCCAAAAGTAATAACTGTTGGAACATCTGCAAATGACTCTTTATATGACATAAACTTTTTATTATAAAGAGTTTACTCCTGTAAATAAGAGTCCAACAGACTTTTTATTCTTTAAATATAAATTAAAGAGTGGGTTTGACTCTTCACATTTAGAAAGTCAAATATCACTCTTTATCTCAATTTTAAATAATAAATTATAAATTTTTATGTATTTTATTTATAATTTATCTCTCTTACTATGTTTCTTTCTTTAAAAAACATATTCTTTCTCCTAAAATTTAAAGAGTTTATTGGATTTGAATAAAAATTTTATTATTTATATTTAAAAATCAACGATGATACTCTTTATTTATATGAAATATGTTATTTAAAATAAAGAACACTATTGGAGATACTCTTAATAAGTGTGTCCAAACTATTAGTCCTATACCCATGGATCGAGGTGACTCGGCCTCTTGGTATCCCCCATAGCGGGATGTTGGTCCATCTAACCAACAATTCCCCCTCAGCACCTGCCCGCAAGGACATGCTATCTAAGGGATTCAAACCGTGACATACCACTTGTCAGGATCAGGCGTTGCTGATCCCGACATTCACATCTTAATTTATGATTTCATTCAATTAAAAGGAAAGCTCGGCCTAAATATCGTAAGATAGGCTTGAGATGTAAGCAATAGTTTGATTAGCAATAAGAAAGTTCTTCAGCTTTGCTTCATCAACACTTCTGTATGATTACAACTAGAGCTAGAGAGAGACATACCAAGTAAAAAGTAGAGGTTCATCCATGTCGTTAAACACATTGACCTGAACAAGATCGTTGGTTGTGGCATTGATAAGAGGCCCTGGAAACATCCCATTGATGGTAATAACCTATCAACAAAACAATACAAACATTCATTCATTCCGAAAATCACAACTACAAAATTTTCAATCCCAACATTAAAAAGCATTGAAATAACATTTTCGGATTATCAAACTCACTGGCTGGTCTGCAAAGGCTGGCCGGATACTCGAGTCGATTGCGACGTGCCACTCCAGGAAAATGTTCTCGCCATTTGCAATTGTCACCAGCACTAGGCCGATGACAAAGGCAAAGATAATTAGCCAAGGACGGTTGCTGCCGAAAACTGCCATTTGCATGGAGTTTTTGTGGTGGTTTTTAGCACTGTCTCATGCTAGGAAAACAAGAAATTAATGTTGAGAAACATTGTTATTTATAGCTGTTAAGTCTCTATAAGGGTCAAGTACTTGAAGACAAAAAAGAAACAATAATTTTTTATATATGGAACTTCAAAATGAGCAGGAAGAGCCAGGTGGAAAAGATGAAGACAAAAAAACTTAGAAATTTGAGGCAACTAAGAGCATTTAGAATAAATAATTCTGAATAATCATTGAAATGTGCTTTGCTTGTTAATTAAGCTTCGGTTTCTCAGCCTAATCACTAATTATGTTCCAATTAAGACATCAAAGCTTGATTAATTTTGCCTTGTTTATGATCTTAACAATGTACTACTGAATTGTTTGATTTCATTTTCAAATAATATAATATATGCTTGCTTTACATTTTTAATTATATCTAGTTACAAATGCCGTGCAATAATGGGAACGCCATCCTTTTAGAACGGGACCCCCCCCCCCCCCCCCCCCACCCCCCCCACCCCCCCCCCCCCCCCCCCCCCCCCCCCCCCCCCCCCCCCCCCCCCCCCCCCCCCCCCCCCCCCCCCCCCCCCCCCCCCCCCCCCCCCCCCCCCCCCCCCCCCCCCCCCCCCCCCCCCCCCCACCCCCCCCCCCCCCCCCCCCCCCCCCCCCCCCCCCCCCCCTCCACCCCCCCCCCCCCCCCCCCCCCCCTCCCCCCGCCCCCCCCCCCCCCCGACCCTTAAATATATAAAACAAATTTTTCAAGGAAAAAAAAAAAAAAAACAGAGCCGTACGTAATAACCGAGACTGCTAAGTTCATGAATGTTTATATTTTCTTGAATATAAATAAATAGCTTGCCATTATGCGTAAACAAATACCGAAGAAACTATTTTTCGATTAAAAAGTACGGATTTCTACAGTTTATCATAAAGAACAAGAAATTAAATCACAAAGCATGTATGAAAATAAATATGAATGGAGAAAGAACATACAAAAGAAAACTTAGCCTGCAGGTTGATAAATATCTTACCAATATGAAGCCCTACAATATAAGCCATTATCACCGTCAAAAATTAGCCCAAGAAACAACAGTATTTCTTTATTATTGTGTGAACGAAAGACAGATTTTAACGAAAAAAAAAAAATGGTTAAGTTTTTTCTCTTTTTATACTAGTAGAATTTCACCTGACTACTTCTACTACTGGGCACGAGTTTATATTAGAATGGAATTGCTTTTACCATAAAATTAAGAATTCTCAGACAGATACCCTTTTTACTTCAATATTTTGAATCAGATCATAAATGAGGAAAATATCCTTTAAATGAACTTATATAATATGATGAAGGCAGTACAGTTTTTCTTAATATGAAAATCTGTCTTAACCATCTCAATTCACAAACAAATATCAAATACCGTACCGGCAAGGTTGCTCAATATTATTAATTTTTTTATAATCTTATTATATGTTTAATAAATACAAATTATTTGAACATCTACATCGTGATCGAAAAACTTTGAAGGGAGAGGAAATTAATCTCTCCTGTTATGGTATGAAGCAATTGATTACACAAATTAAATTAAACATTGCTTGTAAATGGCAATGATCATTCATGAATACGTGTTAACATGAATTATCTCTCAGTCAAGTCTTCCAAATCACAATCCTGTCCAGGGAGCAGGTGCTGGTTCACTACCTGGAGCATCAGAATCACCAAAAATTCCTGTACATAAACAACAAAAGGTTCATTTCAGTAAAGAGGATTTCAAAGTTTAGCCCCTATTAATGAGTAGTCAAAATTAAGAAAGAACTGGAGAAAATAATTTTACTGACCACATAGTAAAAGGTTTCCAGGAGGCGGGCGTTCCTTGGCAGGATTAGGATCATCATTGTGGACTCTGATATAGAGTTCTTGACCCAAGTACCAATTTTTCAGGCTTTGTGATCTTAAATTCCACATTCCAGGGTTGTCCAGGAATGCATAAACTGCTGTCCAGCCTCCAGGGTACACTTGCACGGTTGAACGAACTACCGGATCAAACAGATTGTAAGTTGTTCGAGATTCAGGCGTCCAATCTCCGTTGCCAAACCTGGAATTAGTTCAGGATGTAGTTAATAATCGAGTAGGTATGATGAACAGAATAATATGCAATGAGTTTGTGTTATCAGAAACCAGCAAAAATATCCTGAGAGTGCAACTTACCCAACAACATGGAACCCAAAGCCATCCAAATGCCAGCAGTCAATGACATCCAATTTGTTAATGAACACAAGTTCAATCCATCCTTTGTGAATACCAGTGGAAACAGAAACTCCATATTCAGCTTCAGTATTGACAGAGTTGGTGGGAAACCAATCAAGTTGGTAAACGCCTGACCCGTTGACAAATTGATCTGCAAGTTTCAATGGGGTATCTACGGTTAAATATGAAACATTGTTCACAACATAGCGCCGTTGGCCATTTATCTCTCCCTTTGAGCCTTGTAGAAGGAAGTTTTGTGACAATGTCACATTTGTTACATTGAAGGTTCCTTGTGGATTAGGTCTAGCTGCTCCTGTTGTCAAGTTCCATCTAATCAACAAGAAAATGTTAATGAAAGTTATGAAATGGATATTCATTTATTGACGTATAAGTTTCCTGAAGTAGAATAAAATCTCATTCACCTTACAGATTTGGCTTGATTCATAGAAAATTCGACATCGAATGGATCAGGACCACTCGGGAGAGGGCCACTAACTTGAGAATTGGAATTGGAATTGGAATAGTGCAGAACTCCTACACCTACAAGACTGCTAGAATCAGATGTGTTGAACCATTTAGGACTTGCCACCATGTAATAATCGGCATCATCCTGATCGGCCGTGACAAGAACTGAATACGACTGGCCAACGTGCACATCAAGCGAATCCAATGTGATCTGATTGGTGTAAGACCCTTCTGTTTCAACCAACACCATTTTGTGATTCTGAATCCTAAAGTTGAAACTAAACACACTCCCCACATTTGATATCCTGAACCTGTAAGTCTTTCCTGCATAAAATACAAGTAGAATTCAGTGCATAACTATATATAGCGCAGAGTCAAGTTTGTACAGTAGAATTTTTCTGTACCTTTTGTGACTGTGAAGGACTCATAGGTTTTTGACATTTGGTGTCCATAAGGGCCTTTTCCATTCATCAGCATAACATCAGGGACAGCATTATCGGCTGTAAGTGAAGTGTCCATCATTATTCTGGTTTCCTGTTACAGTTCGCACCAAAAAGGGAATATTTGTTAGCATTGAATTAAGTTTAGCAAAATAATATTATTCATGAATGAATTTTTCGAATTGGTCACCTTGTAGTCATTGGAAAACCAATCACCTATGAGAAGATCAAATTCAGCTTCTGGTTTGGGGAAGGGCACAGCGATAACAATGCGATTATTGACTCGAATAGGCCCAAATCCTCCACCAGCTTTCTGGAAGTTAATGGAGGGGAAGTAGGAATAACTGCCAATCTGATCCTTGACTTGAAATACATAAGTCCAGTTTGTACCAGGTAAAATTGGGCAGTTAGTGCCAGAAACTCCATCCTGCCATGAGTTTAGCCTTTGTTGAATGCCATTCCTGCACCATCAGGATTCCCACTTCTTTATTAAGGGCTTTTTAAAACAATAAATCATCTGAATCCAGAAAAATGAGATCATGGAAATTGTTATAATCTCCTGATGTACATACCATGTGAAGAGTAGAGGCTCATCCAAATTGTTAAAAACATTCACATGGACGAAATCATTTGTTGTGGAATTTATAAGGGGTCCAGGGAACATTCCATTGATGGTTATCACCTGAAAACCAAAAAAAGAAATCCATTATTTCTTCAGCACTGTAAGAAAATGGAAACAAACAATATGTGACTGGTTGCATACAGGTTGATCTACAGACACAGGTTTGATAGTGCTGTCAATGGCTACATTCCATTGTAGAAAGATGTCGATGCCACGAGCGCCTGTGATAAAGATTGTGAGCAATGTTACACACGCAAATAGCCATTTTTGCTTGCTAGAAGAGGCCATTGAAGGAGTAAGTACAATGAGAAGTTGCACTTTCCTTTGGCCTCTTTGTCTCAATGGAATGTGAAAACCAATTAGCTAATATACACATATGCATACTGTAAAGGGTGGACTTGTTCTTGTGAGAAAGTTAAAAAGGATGGAGTTTTCCAAGAAAGTGAGTGAAAAGAAACAATCTACAAAAAGGATCAACAGAACACTGCTGTACAGCTCCGAATAAACAGCCTAGCAAAAATGGTTTTTAGCTTATCCAAGCCGGCTGATTTCTGTAGAAGATTTACATTAAAGTGGAATTTGCTAAGGCCTTGTTTTGTTCCACCCTTTTGGCACATTTTGAACCTGGCCAAGTCATATATATTTTGGTCACTGTCTTCAATTTCGACATATGCCATGGTCTGGATCACCTAATTGGGCAGCTAGAATATTCTATTAATATATAAATGAGAAACCATATGCCTTTGTTGCTTTATGGTATAAATTGCTTCCGGGGAACAAGGTAATTCTGACCATTTATGTTAAATTGCACAAAGCCTGGAGGACGTTTGCGTGAAACCCAAAAATATATTCATGCGGGCCTAGGTCAAAGAGTACCAGTATGATACTAATTGTCAAATCTCGGTTCTAACTTGGTAGAAATTGAACAATTTAGGTCAAGTCTGCAAGGATTTGTTTTTAAGCTTCAAACAAACATATTTGACCTAAAACGGCTCTACTCAAACCTTATAAACTAAATTTCAAGTTTATTTGTTAAACGATGTCACAATTCATGTGCCTAAGCCTTGAATTTCAAGTTTATTTGTTAAGCGATGCAGAGGATGTCACCATTCATGCGCCGGAACCTAGTATTTTGAGCAAAATTGAACTGTAAATGCTACTATGTGCTAATTTAAAATTATTAGTTTTGAAAGATGGTGATCCATGTTTATGATTCTTATATTGAGTTTAAGCTCACAGTTTCAAGAAATCGATGCACAAAGTACCAGAATCCACCAGCAACAAAACGCCATTTCCACTATCAAGTGATGTGTAAAGCCTTTCAATTTGAACCACAGTACATTGCAAATCTTTTTATACCAAAACATTATTCACCCCAAAATCTGCATTCTTCAGGTATGTCACTGACCCAAATATAATGCTGACTCTAACATCTGCAGGCTGTAGATTTTACGAATAAAAATTTCGAAAAGCGAAAGAGACGGAGATTTACATGAGCTGGAAAAAAGGATTTCAATCCCTCCCTTAAGTCCCCACATAGGAACAACTATAAGTACTCCAAAATCTTAATGACAACAAACAATTATCTACACAAACTGATTCTGAATTACTTGGAGACATCGAACAATCCAGTTGTCGTTGTTCTAATTGCCGGGGGCATTTCTATATTGATTCTGTGAGTTGTATGATCTGTATTGAATCTGTGTGTCTGAGCATATTATTCAAGAACAGCAACCGCCACTACCATGAGGTGCCTTGTAAACTTGTTTGTCTTTCAAACTCTGTTTCTTCACTACTAAAGATCCTTTTTCCAATAAACTGGGTACCTCCAGCATCTGTAAACAGATTACTCTAGTTAGAAATGGAACAGATAAACAAATTAGTCAAGAAAGAAGAAGAATATTAAGCATCATTGTAAGTTGGGTTCAGATTTTACAATAAAAAAGTACAGCAATTTAGAAACATATTTCTGAAAGCAACTGGAAAAATTAAAGGGTAAATTTAGATTTCACAACATCTGATAAACTTTTTAGTCTATAAGAAGTTCACTGTCAATTTAGAAAAAGTTTATGTCTATATATATAAACATCTGATATTTCTGGAACAATATGCAAACACTTATCAGAGGTCCAAAAGTCTATTAAAGGAACCCCAAAAGAAATGAACATTATACGCTTTCTTGCGCCCATACCTTATGTATGAGGTCTTTAAAACATTGCTGCACATTTTCTCGAGTTTTGGCGCTACATTCAAGAAATGAACATTTATACTTCTGTGCAAGAGCCATTCCCTCCTCTCTCGTAACAGCCCTTTCACTGTCCTGAAAACATTAACAACAATGTACCTAATCTTCGATTAGAGAATACATTACTAATTAATAATCAGTACAAAACCATGAAGTGCATATTTATTCTTAAAATGCAAATTATTTGTTAAGGAAGATTTTTGTGGTATAAAAATGACAAATACAAAAAAATTAAGGGTATCCAAACTATCAACTCACCCTGTCAACTTTATTTCCCACTAAAACTTTGACACACTCATGATTGGTGGAGTAAAGCTCTATTTCCTTCGCCCATATATCTGACAAGTTTGTAAAGGTTTCTCGACGTGTTACGTCATAAACTGAAAACAAGAATTAAATAAAAAATCAGTAAGCATCATATCAAATAAGACCTAATATACAGCATCAGTAGATACAAAAGCCAGCAACTTAAAACATAAACTCAAACACTGTAATATAAACTTCAGGTGAAAGTTTGAGAACGAGCATCTTGGTTAGAGTTTAAACTGGTTGACATAAAACCCTAGAAGAATAATAGCAAAATTGGTTTAGTTAATATAATCTATATTATCAAAGATATATTTTATCGTCAAAATGTTATTCTAATTAAGACAAATTTTGTACAAACATTTAGTGGCTTTGTGAAATAGCGTCTAAACATTTCAGAGAGCAAGCACATGAAAAATTAAAAACAATCCAAGATAACATGATAATGCTATAAAATTAATATATAGCATGACTTCAAGGACATACCGAGAATAATTCCATGTGTACCTCTATAGTAAGAGCTCGTTAGTATCCCAAATCTCTCCTGTCCAGCTGCAATATAATGTATGATGTTAACAACATAATAACAATAAATTGGCTCAAAAAATCCAAATGATCTCCAGGTTAAGTACAGTACAGAATTAATCTATTTTCTCTCTGAACTTAGACATAATTGTTGGAAATTGGTTTATCACAAGTACATCTAAAAAATAGGAAAAGGCAACAGAGAAAGAAGAAGAAATGCTACGAAAACAGAAGAAACTTATAAGAGACACACAGAAACAATTTGAGTTTGACAGTAATATATTGAGGTGAACACTTGATTCATTGTGGAGTTGTGACAACCAGTCTAATTTATGAATTATAAAATCATTTTCAAATTGAAGGCTCAGCAGAAGAACAGCTAACAAAGAAATAAAACTGCGAAAACTTATATGTATGCGCAGCAATCTGTTCCATTTAGTTTAAAACTTGAACTTAAAAAAAGAAGGTTGCAAATAATCATTCATCATACATATGAATTACCAGTGTCCCAAATTGTCAGTTTCATTCTTTTCCCACCAACTGTGATTTGTTTGAGCTTAAAATCCACACCTGCACGTCAATGAAACAGTACTCAAACATCAATATATATCATACAACATTCCAGATGAAACAAAAACTCAACTTCCCCATGAAAAAGATTCTAGAGACATCAAACAAAATTAACCTTCAAACAATTCGATCAGAGAATCATAATTTCAATGCTATAATCACAAACATAAATGTAAATTTATCTTGCCACCCCAAAACAACGAAACAATTCGAAGTTGAAAGAGACCTTTCATTACTCAAAACCAGAGAAAAAAAACCCAGCTGGGTATCTCAACAATAAAGGAAAACCCAAACTCAGAAGAAATTGCTTTAACTTTTATCTGAATACGGAAGTGTTTGATTTTGTAAAAGGTTGATAAAAGCAGAAAACAAAAAGTTGGTGAAGATGATTTAAAAAGCGACGAATAAAGAAAAGTTTAATTACCAATTGTGGGGGAAAGATCCTGAACAGTGTCGGAGATGAAACTGAGAAGAAGACTACTCTTTCCAACTCCCGAATCACCAATCAACAAAATCTTGAACGAGTAGTCATAACTATTGCTCTTCCCTTTTAAACAAGAATCCATTTTTCCTTCTTCAATTCTGCCCCCGATTCAAATGAAACAAAAACATGAAACTATAGCTTCTTCTCCTTGTTGTTCAGATTTCAGCGTCATGTACTTTTCTCAGTTCATACAAAACAAAGACGAAAAGAATGAAACCAAATGAAGAAATTTCCTCAGGTTCCAAGTTCAGACAATGGTGGGGTTTGGCGGGTACCGCTTATGATAAAATATCATTATTTATTATTATTATTATTATTACTCATTTATTTATTTAGTTATTTAAATTTGTTTCAGGATATCCATTAAATTAAAAATCCGGTTATTTAAAATGTTTAATTTTTTTAAAATAAATAAAATGCCCATCTCGAGGTTTTCTTTATTATTTCTTTTAATTTTAACTTAATCTTGAAGTTGAAATTCAGAAATCATAAGATTTTGCTAATAAAAAATAAATAAATATTTTTGAAATTTTTGACTAAATGGGTTTAAATTGCCAACAAAAGAGGTTCAAAACATGGGACAAATGTCGTCTTTTCGTGAACGGAGTCGTGATTACTTTGATTTTGATGGCTCCACGCGCCTTTGCAGGCGCTTGGGTGGGACCAGCTTGTAGTTTACACATCAAAATCAAGGCGCCATCTAACTTACCTGATCTTTGTCATTTATTATTTTGTCTTTTTGTGAGTTAACTCACCCGATTTTCTTTCTTTCCTTAGAAAAGTTTTTCTAGTAATCTTGTTGGCCTTGAGGTGGCAAAAACTGAAATTATCAGAATCTAATTTCAGAATATGAGAGTAAGTTTTCCCATTTGTGTTGTCCAGTTTTAATTAATTACCCTAATTAATCAGAGATTAGAGGCTGCTAATCTAGCTTAAAATGGATAAGGTTTACGGAGAATTGCGCTAATGGTGACACGTGTAAAACATGCAGAAAACACGTAAGAATTTATTATGCAAAATGATGACACGTAGCTGTCCACGTCATGGTCTCTTTGACCCATGATTTCAGCGCCTCATTCAAGTGTCGACTAGCGATATAGGGGAGACCGTTGGATCAATACTTGAGAATCTCATCTAACGGTTCGTTTCGTTTTATATTTCTTGCAAGTTTTCTCCTCTTTTGATAGATTGAAACTTAAACAACCGAATCACCGATGCCTAAAGAAATTACAAAGACAAAAATTCATGGTACCGCCATGGGCCATGATCACTTTCACAATATGAAGTTAGACGAGCGGTTTGCTTACCCCTAGTCTTAATTGAGCCAAAAAGAAAATATAATGAAGGCCACGTGGCTATCTGCCTATCGGTATCTTTTAGTTGTAGGTGACTGTTGAATCTTTGGTAAAATATGTGGACCATTGTCGAATTTTTTAATAGCCTATATAAAAATATCAAAATCGTATTTATTTATTTAAATAATATTCAAACTAAGAATGTCTAAATCGCATTAATTTATTTAAAAAAATTGCACACGTATAAAGTTTAAGGGTAATATGTTTTTATGTCAGAGTCAGAAACAGTTATAACATGTCTTTTGTTAATTTGGAGAGGTATATAAGAGATGAGAACTTAAACCACCCACCACCTCTTTTGCTAATTTAGGACCTATATTGGGTTAATACTTAATTTTGACACCAATAACTTACATGTGTAAAGTGTTAATCGGATTTAGAAATTACACATGATATGAAAATATGCAATGAGAGAATAAATAAGAAGCGATTTTTAAAGTTGTTCGGATGCTCAAAAGCGAATCCTACGTCTACTATGGTTGTATTGATAGATTGTTATAGTCAAATCACATATAGCGAGCTGAATTACAATAAAGAGAGAGTTTAAATACAGGGAGGGAGAGAGAGAGAGTATGTTTTGGAAGACTAAAGATGAGTCAATCCCGTAAATGAGAGATGAGTCTTATATTTATAGTTGGTGGATCCAAGGTAGTAATCATGATTCTGCAGTTGAGCAGGTGTAATACAATTCCTAACCCACTTCCCATTGGTTGTCCACACGGGAGACATCCTTAAATTGCATAGGGATTGGGCAGGTGGACAATTCCTAGCCACTCACAAGCTTGGCATTCACCTGCCACACTGACGATAGCCATACCTCCTCTATCCTTGCGCGACGTGGCAGCATTTAGACGACACAAACTCTTCCTAAACTCTGATTGGCCCTTGCAAACGTAAGCTTATGTAGCCCTGATTTTTTAGGCATAACATAAGCTCCCTAGTTTTTAAGGTTTAAGGATTGAACCTTGAGAACTTCATGATTATGTCGTGACTTGACTTATCCAGAATGAAGCTTGATCGAGTTGATCAAGCTGTAAGGAGGTCGTAGCATAGGTATCTAAGAATAGCATAAGCAACTTGAGGCGGCCTTCTCCCACAGGTTCAGTGACATGGGTCAAACCCTACTCAGTGCCATACCAACATGCTTTGAATTTCATCCGTAGCTCGCGACCTGAGAATACTTAGCACATTTTTACCGAAAAGCAAGGAATCACATCATCTCGAAACCGATACACAGTGAAGAGTGTTTTACTCGAACAACCTCTTCAGATGTTATCTGTTGTGCTTGACAGCTAGTCTGACCAATTAAATAATCTTTATTTTGACATACATGTCTATTGCGCAATAAGTGTCAGCCATATGCATTAAATGCAATCCATGCTAAAACGACATTCCCTTTTAAAGTATTAAATATAGATAAGGGCGCATTTAATGTGGAGGAGGTAACCGCGCCAACGCTTGGTTGCTCCAATAGAGGGAAACGTCGATTGGCACTCATGAAGCGTGAAGGTTACTCTTCTCGTGGATTAACGACACATGGTCGTAATCAATGGCGAGAAACATATCCCGCCCAAGCGTCGCTTGCTTAGGAAAACCAATCGTCGTTTTTCCCCTATAAAACCCCAGGCTCACCTCAAACTTTATCACAGAACTCGCATTTTCAGATAGAAAAACAAAACTCTTGCACAATTAGTCCGCTATTCTTCCAGTTGATGCGCACTCTCCATTATGACAGGAAGTTCATTCCCAACTGTCAAGAGGTAAGGAGGACTTCTCCTTCATTTTCTTTTATTATTTTTTTAATAGCTTGACTTTGCGGTAATGGTGGGTATGAACTACCTGGTAAGCTTTTATGGTGCGTATTTCCAGACAACGGTAAGAAGAGAGCTTTTTTCTTTATAAAAAGTGAGAACTTAGGGCACAAATCATTAGGGATTCATTCCCAAGGTTTTTAGGGTTTCTTTTGCTCTTCCACATCATCATACAGAACACTATACGGAGATTAAGTTTTCTTTGCATGTTGTCCATTTTTCAGACTTTAGGAGCAATGGATACTTCAGTGACTAGAGCAGTAGAGAGGACGAGCTCACAGGCGTTAGGTGCCCTAACAAGTCCCATGCAAGAGGTCTTATTAGTGGCCACCCGGCATGAGATACAAAAAGCAGTGGACCAGTTCGCGCTTAGCATGGATGTCTACCAGCATAGGACATACACAGCTTGGAATCCCCCAGCGGGAATGGCTGCGATCTCTGAGGCAATCTTTAAATGTGGCGCGTTGATTTTCACCCCTTCATTAGATCGATCCTTGACCACTTCGAGGTCACACCATTATAATTGACACCTAATGCGTATATGATAGTTGTTGTTATGTATATCACATGTGGCGAAAATGGTCTTAGCGAGCTGACAGTGTTGGAGCTCACATGCACTTACTATCTGAAGAAGAGCAAAGATAAAGATTTTTTTTACCTCTCGAAACGATCTACGATCGAGGGAGGAATATTTGGTTACCCCAGTAACGTCGGGGCCTATGAGACCAAATTTTTCTTTTTTGAATATGAAGGCGTTTGCCAATTTAGGGAGCTGAGTAGGTTTTCCTTTCCTTTAATTTGCGAACTATTCCTTTTTCTTCAACTCTTGTATTTAACAAACTTTTCGTCTCTTTGCAGGAAATAAGACGACCAGATTGATGGCTCTGACAGATTTTAACCGAATTGTGACATTCGATCATCTACTCAAGCAGAATTACAATGCAAGATTACTCGTGACAATTGCCAACCTAAGAAAATACGGTTTTTTCAATCCAGAAGTATCTTTGGAACCCTTAGCCCGTAAGTATCTTCACACTTAGAACCCCTTTCATTTGCCTGAGGTGACCTTTTCGCTAATATGATTTCTTGGTGCGCAGCGACCATGCCACCCAGGCTTCCAAGGTCGTCGACGAGGACTAGGGGGTTTGTATTTTCCCGAGTCGCCTTGACTGAGCCAGTCGAGGCAATCCCTGGCGATATCCCTACGGGAGAGATACAGATTGGTGCCAAAAGGCGAACACCCACATAGCGGCATGTGGAAGCTTTTTGGCCCGCAGCTACTCATACCGCTAAGCAGAAAAACAAGAAGAGGAAGCAGCTGCTTGCTGAGGAGGAATCGAAGTCCAAGTGGAGGGTTTAGAGGTGCCGCCGGGGGGATCGCAACCTTACCAGACTTTTCACTCGTGGGTGCCCCTAAGGAACGCGCCAAGCACTTCTACGGCCCCCGAGAGCTCACGTAAAAGAGAGGGGGAAGTCGCGGTTGCCCAAATGAGAAGGGGCAAACAATGGGTCGACGAGATGCCAGTTCCTTTGAGGTCAAACACGCCTGTGCTAGGTTCCATCGGGCAACTCCTGGAGCATCTGTAGCCGGTGGCGTATACCCTACAGGAGTGCTAACTGGTTGCGGCCTTTGAGGAGTTCGTGGCTTCCCGCCCCGCCAACCTGGTGGCTACTACATTCCAACTACAAAGCTGGGTAAAACAACTTGTCCTTGTCGAGACTTTCCAATATCAGTTGATTTTCTAACCTTTATGACTTTCGAAAAAATGGAGGTTAACTCTTGTTTCTTTTCTCATCCAGTCTTTACTCGCCTTGCATATGGCCCAACAGAAGATCGATCTAGACTTTGCTGAAGGGTTCCACAAGTTGAGGGAAGAGAATACCAAGCTGAAACAGGACTTCATAGCTCAGGATGTAGAGGTGAAGGCAATCCATATTCAGGCGAACCAATACTAGGTAGAGAGAAATTATGCCCTTCGCATAGTGGACTTCCAGAAGGCTGAGCTTGAGAAGAGAGGCAATGACAACAAGAAGCTCCAAAAGACAGTGACCAAACTCACCAAAGAATGTGGCAAGAAAGAGAATGAGCTGAAG